AAAGCTTCACTTTAAGTTTTGAGCTTCGTTCTGCAATACCTAAAAACATAACCCTCCTTCTGGTGCAATCGGGTAATGAGACCTGCAAAGCACTTAAAACTTGTTTCAGTCTCAAGAATAACTACATTTAGTTTTGATTGGTTGAATTTAAATATTTAGTCTTCTCTCACTTACTTCTTCCTCGATGAGGATCGCGACCACATAATAATATACTGTTCCTCCACAGACTATTAATATTTAGTAAACCAATTAAAATGAAATATTTGTGTAGTTTTTTATTTTTTAGTTTTTTGTAGTTTTTTTTTTTAAAGATTATTAGCAATTTGTATTGCCCAAATTATTAATAGTCCCATTAGCTTAATTAGTAGTATAATAATTTGTTCTTTTTATTGGTACCTACTAACAATGATTTTCATCTTTTCAGGTACACCGTACGGCGTTTACACCAGAAAATTTAACCTGAAGAAGGTTGAGAAGTCATTTATTATATGTTTATTCAAGCGAAAGTGCATTCATAGTTAGAGTAACTTCAAAGGGTTCAAACAGGGCTGGATTTACCAAATGGATTTCTGGGCTACAGCCCAGGGCCCCGTGGATTCAAGGGCCCCAGCCAAGCCAAAGTCAAAAATAGACCATAATGCGAAAAAGTATAATAGGTGGGCCCCTAAGTAACTAATATTAGTCAAGGGCTCCCGAAAACTTCCTCATGGAGGACGCGGGGGCGTCCGCTACCTAACACTGAGGCCCGAAGTGCGCGCGGAATCCCCACGCGCTTTGGAGCAAAGGCCCCACTGAAAGGATCTGTAGAGTGAGGCTGCGGTCTTTGCGTGGGGGCATGCATGCGAACGATTCTCCAACTCGTATGCTGCCCTACTAAGCGCGACCAGAGGGACCCGACTGGTTTTTAGTGGGGCCTTGTCCTTCAGGCGAGGAGAGCCCCACATAACTCATGCGCTCCCTGGGCTGGTGAGTATGCAGTTTCATGCATTTTCAAAAAGGGCCTCCTAAGCTCACGGTCCGGCCCTGGGTCAAGCATATGAAACCATTTGTTACAGTTCGCCTCACTAATTAAATTAGTTTTGCAGCAATTGTTTTCACTAATTCAAGGAGGTTTAACAGAAATGTGTAGACGGCGAGCTAAGTCCATAAATCATCGAATATGAAGCTCATAAATCAGACCTTTGGTAAATCGAGTGGCAGACTTCCGATAAATTCAGTTATAGCTGGGTTTGCAGGTATTTTCTCGTTTAAAAGGTTTCTGGAGGCGTATTTTTAAAGCATTCAAGCAAAAACTTGCAGCATATGAGCATAATTCTTGAGGATATTATAATGTAACTCATATAAAAACGTCGCGTTGAGACCCGTGTCTCTTTATTTTATTCGTAAAATGTAGTTTAGAAAAAAAATACACTAATTACTAATAGTCCCGTTAAGCCCTCGTGGTAAGCTAAATAAGCATGTGTTACGACGAGTGGGTTAACGAAAATAGTCGAGCGGGCAGGGGGTTCGAATACGCGTTCCTTAGATCTTGAGTCGGCCAGTCCGTCCGACTACTAAAGCACTTGTCAGTCCGACTACGCGAGACGTCAGCGCATGAGCGCAGACAGCGTACAGTACAAATTGTTGATTGTGTTGACGCGGACGGCCTCAACTCTCGTTGAGCGACCAATACCTATAGTACGAGAGCCCACGACCAAAACCATGTGTCATAGCAATACGGCAAAAACCCTATAAAATCGTTAGATTGTATGATTCTGAACCCGACTAGGTGTGTAGTAACGGTCGAAAGTGTAGCAACTGAGTGGGAGGCCATTTCTGCTGTGTCAAAAAAAAAGACAGTCGGTNTATCATTCAACTATAGTCTGCAAATCAGACATATTGCTATGATGCAGTTCGGTAAAATTCTTTGACAATTTTGAAAATTCGGTCAGATCAAACGCTACGCGGAAAATGTCTGATATTGGTATTTTCGAGTTCAGGATAATCGTATCTATCGATTTGATGCGGTTTTGGCCGTATTGCTATGAGACAAAAATTTTGGTCGTGGGCTCTCGTACTAAGTATGTTAGAATTAGTACGAGTATGTCCGAGATTTGTCTTGTGGCTATGGCAACTAATTGCGAGCGTCTGATGATATGTATTTGCAGTCGCTCCATTTATTAATTAGTTGACAAATTTTCTTTTGTCAATAAGGTAGTTGTAGGTAATACTTTTTTATGTAAATTTATGTTTAGTAACTGTATGTTTCCCATAAAATAAGTAAATAAATAAAAAAGGTTCTATTATAACTTGTGTCAAAGGGTATCAACATTGGGTCATTTCCAACATATTGGTCCGAACAATGTACCTACATTTAATTATGCTGCTTTCCAAGAAAATGATGACCAATATCCCCATAGAGTACTGCGTAAACAACATCAAATTGAACTGAAATTTCTGTTTAACCCAAATATTGACTGTAAGTAAGAGCCATATAACTTGAGTTCTCCTTCTAGTCCAGTCAATAAAGCATTATAGATGGAAATCCGTGGAACACAATTTTTGACTTCGGGACTTTATTTAGACTAGTTAGGAGGTGAACATAGCAAAAGTCCCCGCCCTTAGCCCTTGAGCCGGCGGGGAGAGGGGAGTTTAAAGGTGCCACTTTTCGGTTTTTCGCTTAATCCTCGGAAACTATGCGTCCTAGTGACATGACTACTATGAACCAAAACAAGCTTATTCAATTTGCTACAGGTGAGATAGTCAAGTTTTTTTATATCTTGTATAGTTTTCGCGGCATCTGCTCTAGAAGGTCTGTAATATTGGAAATTTTATTTTTGTCTTACATGTTTCCATCAGGAGAAAATCGACTAAATCAACTTTGAGCTAATATTCTAGACATGCGGGAGCATGTTAAGCCTAGTTCCAGGGAGGGGACTGCACCGTGTGTATATTTAGACGAACCAATTGGAGCCACTTTTGACTCCTCATCACTCAAAAAGTACTGTGCATTAACACTTCAAATTTGGCTCATGTGTTAAGACTTGCAAGATAAACATCAGCTTCAAATTTCATAAATATACCTCAAACGGTTCTTTAGGTATTGACGTCTAAAAATCTACATGGCTGACCTATAAGACCAAATTCTAACCACTTCCAGATGACCTTGAAGGTTCAAATTTGGCATCCAGATAGGTAGTTGTGTAAATACAAAGGAACAAATAAAAAAACAGTAAATTTTAACATTTCACAGGTGATAGATAGATTTTAGAGTCCTAAATGTCGATTTTTGAACGTCAATACCTATATAACCGTTTGAGGTATATTTATGAAATTTGAAGCTGATGTTTATCTTGCAAGTCTCAACACATGAGCCTAATTTGAAGTGTTAATGCACAGTGCTTTTTGAGTGATGAGGAGTCAAAAGTGTATCCAATTAGCTCGTCTAATTATACGCACGATGCAGTCCCCTCCCTGGAACTAGGCTTAACATGCTCCCGCATGTCTATAATGTTTGCTTAATGTTGATTTAGTCCATTTTCTCCTGATGGGAACATGTAAGACAAAATTAAAATTTCCAATATTACAGACCTTCCAGACCAGACAGAGCAGATGCCGCAAAAACTATACAAGATATAGAAAAACTTGACTATCTCACCTGTAGCAAATTGAATAAGCTTGTTTTGGTTCATAGTAGCTATGTCACTAGGACGCATAGTTTCCGAGGATTAAGCGAAAAACCGAAAAGTGGTACCTTTAAACCCCCCTCTCCCCGCCGGCTCAAGGGCTAAGGGCGGGGACTTTTACTATGTTCACCTCCTAACTAGTCTAAATAAAGTCCCGAGGTCAGAAATTGTGTTCCAGGGATTTCTCTCTACACCGTCGTTAAAGCATTCATTGACTGGACTATTCTGTGCAAAGGTTAGTTAGTTTCAAATAAATAAACCCGGAAACTTTCCCATTAAAGCTTGAATTTTCCTTTCAATTACTTAATATTAGATAGTACCAGTATTTAATTAACTGAACAATAATTAATTTCACATTTCACTATTTATATATACTATACCTATTACTAGCTGTGCCCGCGACTGAAAAACCCTTATCACATATGGGAATGAAAATAGCTTACGTTCTATTCTCAGAACCACTGAATATACATGAATACCTACTGAAATTTCCTAAGAATCGGCTAAAATGTTCCAGACAAGTTTTGATAAACACTGTGACACGAGAATTAGAATTGTATGTTATATTAGAGATTATTTTCATATTATTACTTACGCTTAATACGCGCGAAAATACTTAGTTTGAATAATATTTCCCGTTTTTGCAACAGCTTTCGCTACTGCTCCGCCCCTATTGACCGTAGGGTGATGTTATATAACTTAAAGCCTTCATAGTACCTAGAATAAAGTTCAAAAGTCAACTTACTGATGCGAAAAATTAAAAGTTAATAGCGCTGACATTTACCCAGTTAAATACATTCCATCCACTGCTGCAAGTGTGGCTGAAAGCAAACAAAGGATCAGATAATAAAATCGCTGCATCCCTTTTTTCTCATTCCTTTTAGCAGCGCTGACTACATTCCGCAGACAGTTTTTCAGTTTCAGTCTCACTGTTTCTTTTTATCCTTAAGTTGAATAAACGCCTTCTTGGAATGTAAATGGATTTTCACGAGATCGTCTGGAAAAGCGGTCGTTGTTTGTTTTCAATAAGTTTTCTTTTTTCCTTTTGAGACATTAGAACTAGAAATGACATAGCTAACTACTTCTTAGCTCTTTCATCTAATTAAGCATGCCAGATTATTTTATTAAAAAGATGGGTTACTAAATGTATACCTAATCTAACAAACTTAGTGAGAAAATTCACATCATAGAATTTATACAACGCCAATGAATGCGGCCGAAAATTGTAGGCTGCATCAAAAATATAAATCGAAATATTTTAGCAGTATTAATTTGACATTTATCAAATACAATTGCTTTCGTTACACCGTTGAACATTTCCTCGTGTTGCTGCGNCTCGTTCTGTGGTTGTAGGAGCATCCGTCACTAGTTCTGTGGTTGTAGGAGCATCCGTCACTAGTTCTGTGGTTGTAGGAGCATCGGTCACTAGTTCTGTGGTTGTAGGAGCATCCGTCACTAGTTCTGTGGTTGTAGGAGCATCCGTCACTCTTTCTGTGGTTGTAGGAGCATCCGTCACTCTTTCTGTGGTTGTAGGGGCATCCGTCACTCGTTCTGTGGTTGTAGGAGCATCCGTCACTCGTTCTGTAGTGGTAGGAGCATCCGTCACTCGTTCTGTTGTTGTAGTTGTTTCATTTGGGTTTTGTTGTCCGCAGTTGACCAAGTGTGACCATTCACATTCCTTTAAACAAAAACGTAATAATAAAAATATTTATTGCTTTAAAAAATACAAATTGGAGCAAAATCATAGTTTTTTTTATTATTTCTAGCTGAATAGTACCTAGTTTTAAGTTTAAAGTTTAAGTTTAAATAAGCAAATAATACCTCGTCAAGTTTAAAAAGGTGGAAAAGACTTCTCATGAATTTTATTTGATTTTTAAGGGATGGGAGTCTTTACTTGTTTCAAATTAACTCCCCGCACCCCGCGCGACCGAGACCAAAAATTGGTGGGGCGCGTCTTCGAGGATGAAACGTTCTATACTCACTTTGAGATAGTAAAATTTTTGTTTACCTGCAGTTCAAAATCGAAATACGTGTGGTAAGGGCAATGCATCAATATCTTATTCCCATTGCTGCAGCTATAAAACTTATTGCACTCATCTTCGTGTGGCAGCAGTTTATAAATACTGAAGTTGGATGGGCAGCCATTGGGCAGATACTCTGGAGCAGGCGTTACTGTAGTTGTAGTAGTCTCTGTAGTTGTAGTGGTCTCTGTAGTTGTAGTGCTTGCTGAGACTGTAGTCGATTGTGTAGTGCCTGACACGCAGTTCACGTTGTGTGGCCAGTCGCAAATCTGTAATTGAAACATGCATGATTAGATGATTAGGCCAGATCCTCCATTTTCCTCTGGTTAATTAATAATGGCTACAGAGACGACCCTCTCTAATTATTAGAGAGGGTCGTCCTCCTTTCATCATCATCATCATCATTTCAGCCATAGGACGTCCACTGCTGAACATAGGTCTCCACTAATGCTTTCCACGTTGATCGATTGGTAGCGGCCTGCGTCCAGCGCTTCCCTGCTACCTTTACGATGTCGTCTTTCCACCTTGTAGGTGGACGTCCCACGCTGCGTTTTCCGGTACCGGTAGTGGAGACTAATGGATTACATTTATAACTAGCGGCTGTACCCCTTACTGCTTTACCCCCTTAGGGGTTGAATTTTGCAAAATCCCGTCTTAGTGAGCACCTACGTTCTAAAAGGAACCCCCATGCAAAATTCGAGACTCCTAGCACTGGTAGTTTCCGAGATTTCGTGATGAGTGAATGACCTTTCGCTTAGATTACAATGTAGATTAGCCGCCTCTGTGGTCTAGTGGTAAGACCACATACATCGAGGTCCTGGGTTCGATGCCCATTGGGGCCAAAATTTTCTGATCGCTTTGGTATATGGTACATCCCGTTTGCAGTGTCCCGCAAAAAAACCCAATCCGTTCGTATTACAAACACTGTGCTTATGTATTCATAGTGCAGATCCAGTTTTGCGAGGCCCTGCATTACTGGATCCTGGAAATTTGGATTACAAGAGGGCTCTAATACCTACCTGGTTAACAAAGTCGAAATGTAGTCCACCAGCGCACGACATTTGTACTTTCCTCCCATTGCTACAACTGTAGAACAGAGAGCAGTCTGTCTCATGCGGCAACAGGTGATGTCTGCTGAAGTCTGCCGGACAGCCATTGGGCAGGTATCCTGGATTTGTAATTACTGAACTTGTAGTTGTACTGGCTGTGGATGTAGTTGTGCCGGGGACGCAGTTAGCTGCAGCCGGCCAGTTGCAGACCTATGACAAAGAATCATAAAATTAAAAACTATAGATAAGTCTGAAAAATCTCATAATTTTATGTTGACTTAACTGTGGCTTCACGTTAGACCTTTTTACACTAACTGTGCCTGCGACTTCGTACGCGTGAAAAGAGTTGGATAATATTTCGCTTTTGGAATTTTTTTTCTTTACTGCTCCGACCCTATTGGCTGTATGGTGTTGTTATATAGCCTAAAGCCTTCCTCGAAAAATGGACTGTACAACACAAAAATATTTTTTTAAATTGGACCAGTAGTTCCTGAGATTATTTGAAAAGCCTCCGATAGAAAAAATAGAGAGGATCGTGCTCAGTGGAGACTAAAATAAAGAATGATGATGATGAATTTCATTGATTTTTTTTTCTTATTCTTTTCGCTCTTGGCAGAGGTCGTGGTCACGTCGGTTGTAGAGGCGGGGACAACTCTCCGCACGATCTCCCGCCATCTCTCTTATTTATTTATTTATTTTTATTCAAACATCTTACAAGCTAACAGAATACATTCCAAAGCTCTTGGCAGACTGCCTGATGCAGTCAGATACGCGGTTTCCCCCCGCCGATTTTACTTGCTAATTTCTTGATTTCTTTACCTTTAACACCGGGTCAAAATGCAGTCCCCCCGGGCAGGGCATCAGAAACTTGTTGCCATGGCTGCAGCTGTAGAACGACGAGCAGTCCGTCTCATGCGGGATGAGGTAGTCGTTTATGTCCACCGGACACCCGTTTGGCAGGAACTGGGCTGATGATACTGATGCCAATAGCAGCAGTAAGAAGTGTTTGGACATTTCTGGAAAAGTCATAAAAACATTATTAGTTCTGGAACTCTTCTGTACCACTGTTTCGGGACTGTGAGGTATTTTTTTATCCACAACGAGGAAGCTCTTGGCCTGTATGAACCTGATGGTAAGTGACGATCAGGCTGAAGGTGGAAGCGAGCTTCACCCGGAATCCTCAACCACGGAGGAACTGGCTATCTTACCTCTAACTGCCCGAACACAAAAATGCTGTTAACATTGTTGTTATGGCGACAGACTTAAATAAGGTGGTGGTAGCTAGCCAGGCGGACTTAGAACAAGCCCTACCACCAACCAAACCGAACAGATAAATCTGCCCCCACTGGGAATCGAACCCGGGACCTCTGCATCTGAAGCAGGTGGTCTTACCACTAGACCACAGAGGCGGTTAAACAAATTTTAACATTCGATTACAGGGAAAATGGATTATAGTTTTTAATGTTTATTTTTTAAATTATAGTTTTTAATTATAGTTTTTAATTATAATTGTAGTAATTTTTATATTTTTAATTAATTTAATCAGTCAATTATTATTGTATTACATTTGCACACCGGTACAATCCCCGGTAGAACATAATTGGAACTGACTCAGATACTGTATACCTGTATTATCATGACATTTTGTTCTGCAAATAAACTTATTTGATTTGATTTGATTTGATTTGATTTGATTTGATTTGATTTGATTAGAATGTAAATCGGATTTTTTTTTCGACACTTCTCAGCTGCAGTCAATATAGCGCTGCGCGCTGGTAGGGCAAAAAAAGAATGAGACATGTATAGACTCCTTAAGAGCATTTGAAGATTTGTAAGTAATTTAATTAGTCTATACAAATATAGATAATTTTGATTTTGGTAAGACCACCTACTTTAGACGCAGAGGTCCCGGGTTCGATTCCCAGTGGGAGCAGATTTTTCTGTTCGGTTTGGTTGGTGGTAGGGCTTGTTCTAAGTCCGCCTGGCTAGCTACCACCATCTTACCTAAGTCTGTCGCCATAACAACAAATGTTAACAGCATTGTTGTGTTCCGGCAGTTAGAGGTAAGATAGCCAGTTCCTCCGTGGTTGAGGATTCCGGGTGAAGCTCGCTTCCACCTTCGGCCTGATCGTCACTAACCATCAGGTGAGATACAGGCCAAGAGCTTCCTCGTTGTGGATAAAAAAAATCTAAGCTTGAAAAATCGAGTTTTAAGCTTTATTAATTAATACGCACCTGTGTTTTCAACCGGACAAAACAAAAAGTGCGACTTAATCAGACTTGAAACATGTTCGGTTTGATTAATGCGATTAATAACAAGATAAAATCGTTTATTGGATTATAATAATCATTTATATGACTCTACATACGTCTATTGAACTCCTACGTTGAGATTCATGTTTGATTATATTATGTACTAGCTTTCCGCCCGCGGCTTCACCCGCGTGGAATTTTGTCTGTCACAGAAAAACTTTATCGCGCGCGTCCCTGTTTCAAAAACCGGGATAAAAAACTATCTTATATCCTTTCCCGGGACTCAAACTATCTCTATGCCAAATTTCATCAAAATCGGTTCAGTGGTTTAGGCGTGAAAGAGAGACAGACAGACAGACAAACAGACAGACAGAGTTACTTTCGCATTTATAATATTAGTACAGATTGTGTATAAATTATTTACCTACTAATTACCTTATCATTTGGCTTTGATAACGTGTTTTCGGTAGCAGTGATTAATTTTTAATTATCAATAACGAGGAATGACTAGTGAATGATTAGATCCTATCTGAAGTTACGCCAAAACGATTATAAAATAACACAAATACCTATGTACTAAGACAATAACTGCCTCATGACCTAGTGGAATGACCACAGCCTCTCTTAGACCCAGAGATCCCGGGTTCGATTCCCACTGGGAGCAACAAGTTACTGCATTAGCTAGATAGTGGTTCTTAACCTTTAAGTCACGAGGGATCATTTTACTAAATTACTGTCTTGTCAGGGACTACTTTTTTTTTCAAAATCCTATATGAAAGGGGAGGTCGATTTCTCGCCCACTGTGCGCCGCTTGCGTTATGTTGACTCGACTCATTGCGTCAAGTCACTTGTTTATTACGATGTCTTCGTGGACCACTTGGAATGCCTCCAGGGACCACCAGTGGTCCGCAGACCACCGGTTAATAAGAACCACTGAGCTAGATGGAGGATTTGGCCTACACTCCCCACGCTGGCCAGACGGGTTGGGGAGGCCTGATGTTCGCGTATTTGTCCATTAGTCGCCTCTTACGACGTCCACCGGAAGAGTAGGAATGTTCTTATGGTGCTTCCAGACTAGGCGCACGGGCTCGCGCGGCAAACTCAACATCCTGCTCACTCAAGAGCAGAGTGAGCAGGATGACTAGCGTGCCGCGCGAGCCCGTGCGCCCAGTCTGGACGCACCATTACTCTAACTAGTCTGAAGCCACACGGCAAAACGTGTTTGTATTTACTATTTAATTTATTTTGGAGAGAAAACTAGTAGATTTTAATCTTACTTTGTTTGTACAGTAGGACGGGAAGGACTGAGCATATTACGACGTTAAATAAAGAGTGATCGTTAAATGGAGTGACACGGTAGTGTGGATATAGAACAAGGTAAACCAAAAAAGCCAAAAAAAGTCGACGTTATAAGAAGTTTGTCGTTAAATCGAGTAACGTTATAAATAAACACTGTATTTGTAATTCTTTGTTAGAGTGTAAGTAGTGGATGAAAAACCCAATCACTACCTGGATACGGTGTAAATCGATTAATTTTGCATTTATTCTGTGAAAAGACATAATCTTATTAAAATTATTGATTTTGTATTTTGAATAAAGTATTTTTCCACATCATGATATTAATCTTTAATCAATCAAATATGTACACAATACATGTACAATTTTACATAAGAAATCGCCGCAGGGGACGTCTAAAGTCTTAAAAGAGGAACTAAAATATATTAAGGTACTAATAGCTTAATTAATCCATTCGTACTAATAATATGTATTACTGGTATAACTAGCTGTGCCCACGACTTTGTACGCGTGAAAATCAAATCATTTATTAACTTTCAGAACAAGGTTTGTATAACAGATTAGGTACGAAAATTTTAAATGTAGAGTTACAAAAACGAGCGTTCTTTTCAGTGGTGTACCCACCTACCTACCGTGCCTGTTTAAACTACAAATCAAATCAAAAATAATAACTTAATTTTAACAACTATTTTGGCTCATAAACGTTAAAAATTATTTAAAACAGCCCAGCCAGTGTGGTCTGCTTGAGAAATAAGAAGCCAGAGTATTTTTTATGCATAACAAGGCAGTTTTTTGACCACAATCGCACCTGATGTTAAGTGGGATGCAGTCTAGGATGGTACATAAATCTTAAGTAAAAAAAATCAAAGAAACTCATAAAATTTTTGCAAGTGGGCTTTTAAAAAGCTCTTTCACACGTCCCAGTATTAACCCTACCACTGTTTCGGGACAATAAATGGGCCAGTGCTGAGAAGATGTAGCGCACGTCAGTCAATAATAAAGAAAAATATTTGGAAAAAGTAAACTAATAGATACTCGTATTATTGTGTACTTACCCAGTCCATGTAAAATATAATTAAGCTTGAAGAAAAGTTATTCCTATAATGTTCTTTTTATCACTTTTAACAAAATCACTTCACTAAGCTTTTTCACAAACATTTGTTTCAAGCTTACATCAACCACTGAAGTGGTTTTACATTTTAATCTTGTTATTATTAATATAAACCCTTTATCTACGTTTAGTATCTTCGATATGCACACGTATCGAGGTGTATAATCGAATTATAATAAACATTATTTCCTTATAAACGTACTTTATGTAGTGTCTATTAGGTACGAGTACTATTGCGAAATGGCTGCGGAAAATCTGTAGGCATCAGAAAATGACACATCTTTCCAATAATGTAGTTTTCCACCTCTTTTTTATGCAGAACAAGGGTATTAGACCGCAATCGCACCTGGTGTTAAGTGAGATGCAGTCTAGGATGGTACAGTCGAGGAATGAAAAGGTTCGTCACCTTAGTGTCGGTTTTCGCTTGCACTAGGTGCTGTGAGAGTCAAACCTGCCAACATAACAGTGCAAGAAACAGTGCTGCTAACACTTAAATAAATATGACGTTTGCTAACGAATAAGGTTTTGCTTGTTTATTTTTCTATCCCATCAGTGCAATGCAATGATGACATTGACCAATTGACAATAGTTTTTTTTTATTTAAAAGAAATAATAATGGCAGGTTGAACCAACAAGAAGGTTTTAGTTTATCAATCATAATAATCTTCTTGACAAGAAAATCGTCAAACTTTGATCTGAATAATTTTGAACTTTACTGACGAACAGTTAAAGATTATTTTCTCTAACTCGAGATTATTCTGCAACATAGTTTCAAAAGGTAATATTATTATGTGCTCGTGATTCGTTGAAGGAATCAATTTGAAAACTGACGGACCTTTTCATTCCGTGACTGTACATATCTGCCCCGTGAGTGCCTATTCACTCTCGCCTTGAAAACGCCCGGATTATAGTCTTCGGGAAAGACAGCAGCAGGCAGCGAATTCCAGTCCCTAGCTGTTCGTATTATAAAAGATTTGGCGAAACACTTAGTGCGAGCTGGTGGAACGTCAACAAAACTCATAAAACTTATTTATTTTTGCAAACAGGCTTTTAAAAAGCACTTTTACACGTCCCAATATTAACCCTACCGCTACTTCGGGACAATAAATGGGCCAGTGCTAAGAAAATGTTTTTAATAATAGTTGGGCGGTTACTTTGGTTTTCCTGCGGATCTCCTTAGTTCTGATTCGATCACGCAGGAAAACTCCGAGCATAGCACATTTCATCGCTCTTTGGGTGACCTTGAGCTTTCTTATGAAGCCCATAGTAAGTAATAATACTACAAATAACTTACCAAAATCCCGTTAATGCCTTCAGCTAAGCTAAATGTTAAACGCTTACCTACGTTTTATGAGTGGATTCACCACAATAGTACACGGTCGTGGAGATCGAACTAGCGTTCTTCGAATCTCTAACTAAATTGTTTATTTATTAAAACCTATAATTTCTTAAACCATGCACATTAAAGATGATGTATCTATTCTTCAATTAAGTCAGGGCTTCCCAAACTTCATGATACGCCCTGGGGCGTCGCAGCGTTGTCCCAAGGTCGTCGGGAGGTGATCGAAAATAAATACACAATTATTCCAACCTCTCGTTCCCGCCGCTGCAACTCCTGTGTAGCCATGATCTACAGCTTGACCGCCAGTAACCCAACCAGTGAGGGCCATGTTTGTCCCAGGGGAAAGTTACTGTCATCGAAAATAAATAGTAGAATGTAGAGAAATAGATGAGAATAGCATTTATAAACTAGAGCCTGGTTTTGAGATGCTGTTGTTTTGAATGTCACTTTGGCAACTTTATTGCTATCCAACATTCTGTGCATGTAGTGGCAACCTTTAATTAAGGCAACACCTAAGCTTAATTTATTTACCTATAAGGAAACTGTGAATGTATGGTGTATGTTTTGTTGGTTGTCCTTAAATAAATAAATAAAGCTACGTTTGGAAAAGCAAACACATCCTTCCCATTAGTATTACGCACCACCAGGTTTCCACCAGACAGAGCGGAGCGGAGATGTGTTTTGAATAACCCATGACCAATGAGGGTTTTCGCGTATGAAAAATCCGCCAGATGGCAATACGCAGACGGGAGGTCCAAATGCTGCATGATTGGTTATTTTTGACATGACATTGACAGATAATTATGTCAAAATCCACCAATCACGCAGCAGTCAGACCCCACATCCACGTCCCGCCATCTAGCGGATCTTTCATACGCGAAAACCCTCATTCCCAAGGGCGCCGCAGTAAAAAAAGTTTGGGAAACGCTTTAAGTAATGTTTTTAAGTAATGCAAACAGGTTTAAAGCTGCGGAAGTGCACGATTATCGCCTACATGAGTATTGCTATTTTGTAGGCGTTTTCCTGCATTTTTAAATGAGCAAACATTGTATGTACGAGTATTCAACTTTATCTGGGAAAATCCAGGTCTAAACCCACGAGTATTTGTTTCTATAGATCTAACGCCAAACTCAGTCTTTTAGAGACGTCAAACGTCTTTGTATGCTCTCGTCGTCGTCGTCGTCGTTTCAGCCGAAAGACGTCCACTGCTGGACAAAGGCCTCCCCCAAGGATTTCCACAAAGACCGGTCCTGCGCCGCTTGCATCCAGGTACTTCCCGCGACCTTCACCAGATCGTCGGTCCACCTAGTGGGAGGCCTGCCCACGCTACGTCTTCCAGCTCGTGGTCGCCACTCAAGAACTTTTCTGCCCCAGCGGCCATCAGCTCTTCGAGCTATGTGCCCCGCCCACTGCCACTTGATTTTAGCGATTCTGCGGGCTATGTCAGTCACTCTGGTTCTCCTACGGATCTCCTCATTTCTGATTCGATCACGCAGGGAAACTCCTTTGTATGCTCTGTCAAGTCTTAACAAGGCAATGTCACCCCTCCCGTGCCGCTCCCATACCTCAGGCACTAACCGATTTAATTTTATTTTATTTTATTTTTCTTTATTCAGAAAACCACAGCTCTTTATAATAATAATACAAACGCTAGACCTATAGTTTTTACATAAAAGTTATCTCGGTTAGAAGCCATGATAGCCGAATGGTGAAGGGGTCGGACTGGCCGACTCGTGATCCGGGGAACGCGAGTTCGGTCCCCGCCGCCGCTCGACTGTTGTGGTGAGCGCACTGATACAAGCATATTTAGCTTAGTACGAGGGGCTAACGGGAGTATTATAGTAATTTGTATGATAACAAATTACTAATCCCATCCCAACTAATATTATAAATGCGAAAGTAACTCTGTCTGTCTGTCTGTCTGTCTGTCTGTCTGTTACGCTTTCCCGCTTAAACCTCGCAACCGATTTTGATGAAATTTGGCATAGAGATAGTTTGAGTCCCGGGAAAAGACATAGGATAGTTTTGATCCCGGTTTTTAAAACAGAGACGCGCGCGATTAAGTTTTGCTGTGACAGACAAAATTCCACGCGGGCGAAGCCGCGGGCGGAAAGCTAGTATCTAATATTTAAGAGCTAATCAAAGCCTAGCTCGATATTGGTTTTCCTGTAATCATTAATTACTTAACTTAGAGGCTGTCAATAATGATTGAGTACCTAGGTACTAAGTTCCCTCCACTTCCTCTAATAACTAAGGTACTTGATACAAATAAGGCCTACGTTCTAATAAGGCCTATACATCAGAAAACACAGATAAACAAATCCAACCGGGATAATACTTCAAGGACACGTACTCATATGCCCTACAACCCGGTAGAGTGCAAGAGCGCCCCGATCCACGATCCCAGCACCAATTGGCACGCGTTCTTCTAAGGTGGTGGGTGATTTCGTGCTCTATTATAAAAATCTGGCGATTTCATCTTAAATTTTCGGTAAAACAACGCTGTTTTAGATTAAGCTTTACTTAGTAATCGTTTCTAAATATTTCTTACTAGCTAATAATTACCTTAATTTGTACTACTGGCTATAGATGCATTATTTGTAAATTTTTAAAGACAACAAGAGCGAAATATCTAATAAGGCCTAGGCCTTATTTCAGCATGGTAGGCCATATTGGATACTTATGTCAACACCTGATTACGGACAAATTCATTAAACTAAATGAGTCAAAGAGTAACTAAATATTTATTTAATAAGAATGTTACTAACAGCACAGAAAATAAAAAGAAAACAGAGTAAAAAAAAATTACTAAACCTGTAAAAAAAAGAAACAAAATACAAAACCAATAAAAAATAAGAAAAAAAAGCCGTATGTATAATTCTAAAGGATTAAAGCTGATATTATCATGCCTGTCTCGAAGACAATGTAGCAGATATGCTACCATAAAGGACTGCTTTTGGTGGTATCATAAAGATTGTGTAGGAGTTCGTAAAGATGATTCAGAAGCATTTTTATGCCCTGGTTCTAACAAAAATTGAGATCTCATTTTGTTTACAAAAAATCAAGACTATAGTCTATCCAATATAGCTTGATTAGAATGACGGCTGTCAAACGAATGTGACTAGTGATGTGTATGTTTCGTACGGTTCACATAGATGTATCGATAAGTTTTCGAAAAAATGATATGAAAAAATGCACCCAATTTTTCTTCATATATCTTTATTCATAAAAATGACAATTATGATTTAAATTTAAANCTTATTTTGAATAGATTTAGTTAAAGATTGTGTTATTTTTTGTAATATTGCTAAAATTAAAGGATGGAAGAAGTTAATTAACCTTGTTTTTGTTGACTGGCGTTAATATTTATTGAAATATAAGCATTTAAAGTTAGGTAGGCCTTATTTGTATCAAGTACCTTATTCGTATTAAGGATTTAGTAAGGAATTTAGTGCAGTTAATATTATTGCTTCAAAGAAGCCGGGGAATTCTGCATTAGATTAAAAAATGTTAAATGATTAGTCAGACATAGATATTACCTGCACATGCTTACAATCACGTGTTTATTTTAAGTAAGTAGTATCAGATAAGTTACTTTTTTATAACTATGCAATGAGTTAGCAGCATCATCCAGTGGTTTGCGATTACAAACTCAAAGTTAAGTACTTGGTTCGAATCCCAATAATATGTTTTTTATTATTTTCATAAAAAAAAATAAGTAATGATATTTTATGTGGACTGCCACACATGCAAGTGGAGGGTACCATTTCAAGAAAAACGCAGCGTGAGACTTCCA